TAATTAATTAGGATTTTCTTTCTTTATTTTAGAGACTAATTTTTATAGAAAAATGTAGTCGTGTTATGATTTGTCCATTTAAAATAAATGAGATGAGCCTCGCTTAATGAAATGTATAGATTGCGGGGCCCTCAATAAATGTACATTTAATCGCTTAGAATTAGGGAGGAGCCGTTTTAGCAAATTTCACGGCCCTACCCAAAATAATGATACGCTAGTCGCTCTAGGCGCGTATTTAATAATGTTATTTTCTTAAATACGGGTGTGCATTTATGTAACCCAAATTTAAATCTCAACGANATAATGTTATTTTCTTAAATACGGGTGTGCATTTATGTAACCCAAATCTAAATCTCAACGGAGTCGAAATGTGTCGATAATCACGGGTGCATTGATTGCGACGTGATTTGAAATACGTTTTCACAATGTTGCAATTCTTCGTAAAATAATAACAATAAATAATAATAATAATAATAAAAGCGGCTAAGGGATAAATTTGCACATAAGTTTATAATACGTATTATATCAGATAATCAAGCCAAATATAACAGTTGAGCGACTGTGCTAGAACCACGGAACTCGGGAATGCCTAACACCTTCTCCCGAGTTAACAGAATTCCTTATCTGGATTTCTGGTTCGCGGACTGTAATACAGAGTCATTCTTTTCCTCGATTCTGGATTAAACTGGTGACTTGAGACACCCTAAATCTCCCAAGTGGCGACTCTGAAATAAATAAACAAATCCCGTTTCGACTGTCCTTTAATTGGAAAAAACTCCTGTTCCCCCGCGAGGGCGGAAAAATGAGGTGTGACAGTCGTTATTCTTGAACTCTAGAATTTTCAGGAAATAACGTGGGGTGCAATTTCTGGCACCAACAGACCCGGTCTATCCCATGGCAATTTGGCGAAGCCTCTTATCTCTTTTAGAAGAGGAGTCATTACTATATTGCCAAATCGGAAGACAACTCTCTTTTCATCCTAGAATATGGTGGCTGCCTCAATTAATTCTCTGTTGGGTCGAATGTTCAGCAAAGACAGCAAGTTACCCAACACACTCCTTACGTGGTTTCTATCACATGGTGCAAGGTCATTCACCAGTCAATCAACAGAGATGGGATATTCTGGACTATGCCAAACCTGGGAATTCCAGGCTTCATTTTCTGCAAACAAATAAAAGTTAGCCCTTTCCCCCTCCAGATTCGATTATTTACGCAATAATGGTCAATATGTTGGCACGTTTTCTCTAAGTAATGCACATAATATGATGGTGTCCTTTGGGACTGTGGAAATCCCTTTGGACCTTGGACAAGGTTTATCTAAGCGGATTAATGTGTAAATGACATTTCAATCCATACTAGGTTTAACACGATGCATGTACATTTCAAATCAGAGTGAGGTTCTAGAAGGGTTTAGACTGATACTCTCAAGTGGACGACTTGAGATGGAAAGACACGGGATTGTCGACTGCACATTGATCGACTAGTCTACCACTAATAAGCCTTTCTGGTTTAAAAGGTGTTCTTAGGAAAGTGCGGACACTCATCAAGCACTACTATGTTGATAATAAGCACGAAAGTAGTATGATGTTGAAAAGATGCATGCGAAAAATAATAACACGTTGCCAGATATTTTGCATGATGAAAGCACATAAGAATAGTAAATAATGCGATAAAGATAAACAAAAAAGGAAGAAAAAGGAAATACAAAGGAGAGAAGTTAGCATATCATACGAAAAATTCGAAAATGTAATTAAATGAAGCAAATAGGGGAGATAGGGACAAGAGATACATGATATAGTATTTTAAGCAAATAAGGGAAGTGGGGAGGGGGGATGTACATGAAAGAAGTCAAATAATCCATTAATCCACACAAGCGAAAACTTCATTATGGTAAGAGCCTAAGTATATCTCCAGCAGAGTCGATATGCTGTCGCGCCCCATTTTCTCACCAAACCAGGTTTCGATGTGTGACAACTCTTAAAAGAGAAGAATCGCCACCTAATGGTTTTAAGGTGCGTTAGGGCACCTATTTGCAAATAAATCTATTTAACTAGTTTACGTCACCAAAGATCGGGTAAGAGCTCAAATTACCTAAAAAGAAGGGGTTAGGCACTCTTCGAGGTCCACAATTGTGGTTCCCGGCCAAATTTTACACTATGTGGGATTATTGAATTATAATTATCCTATGTAATCATATAATATAAAGAAAGATAGGGAGTCTAAATATCTAATAATAATTTGAAACAAACTTAAAAGAGAATGCACATATGAAAGAAAGGGATTATACAACGATAACTGATTGGCATAATCTTTTGATGATTACAAGGTACATAATTTAATCTAAGTTCAAATAAACAAGTGTACAAGTAGTAACCATATACGGGGGTCCTACATTTTTTAGCCTAAAGGATCACCCCGTGCAACATAAATAATACTTCGCAACTCCCTTTAAGGTAAGAGTTGCTCATATTATTCAGCAGACACAGACTATCATCTCCTGCTACCCAATTACTATCTTAAAGTTGTTTACCTAATGCGTTCTAGTTTAATTTTAAACCGCATCCTATGCGTGCATTACCCGTACCATGCCTATAGTCTAGGAGGCTTTGGACCTACTACTTTGGTGGTTCTAGACTTTACTTAGGATGCTTAAAAATGATAAAACTAGGCTCGCAACCAAAACAAGTAGGACTACAGATAATTAATAGTTGATGGCTTAACTTGGCCTCCTCACATAGAGACAAATGCACGCAAACAGTTATAAGCTTATGCTAATAGTGTTCCAGATTATGCAGTAAATGGCTGTAGGCAGGTTTGGAGTCGAGATACATTAAAATTGTTCAAAACCTATAGGCCTGATTTTTATGTGATTGAACGACCCAATAGTTGATATAAGATCCTACGAACTGCTGATTTAACAAATGGTTTATTAGAACCCTATAGGCATGATCTCTAGGTGAATTAATGACTAGACTAGGGGATCGTTGAAAACACATAGTTATTTGTCTTTGATCATGCAAGCATGATGTCTAAATGAATAGCGAAAATATAGACATGGTATCTAGATAATAACATCCGCGCGATAAAGTAATTGAGAACATACACTGGCTTTATTGTACTCATATAAGCATGTCATCTAGGCAGTAGTAGGATAAGGATAGCAGTAGCAACAAACTTAATTAAACACCTTGAAATCCTATAGGCATGCTATCTAACAATACATAGCAGTAGAGCATGTTGAGCAAGTAGCAAATGAAACATTTATATCCTATATGCATGTTTTTACTCTTTTATGCGAGAATTAAAGTATCTCACCCCCCACACTTTCATTAACCCCCCATCATTCGTTTTACAAGTTATTACAGATCAAATGAAATAAATACAGGTCCAAACATAAATGTAAAATAACCTAGCTATGCATCTAGGCCTTCATATGGGCTTTAAAACTCAGACAAGCCCATATCCTAGGCGCAGACAGTGTGCTCAAAATCACAGTACCAAGAATCAAATTCAGCAGTCCAGGCCAAATAAAAACCAATTCTCTTGCTCATCCATTACTAATTACAGCTAATGAAGACACGAATGACAACTCATGCAAACCAAAATTATTTAGCATAACTCAAATTCTAAGGAAGAGCATAGGCACATTTTGGCCATTAACTACAACTAGCAGGAGCAAGAATTCTAAACATCCCAAGGATAAGGCACACACTTGAACTTCACATAAAGACATATAAGATGTAGAGGATATGCAAAATACATAGGATGGGTATATACATGGGCTTTCAGATTAGTAAACAAGTTCAAAGTAACAGACTTCTTAGAATACACATGATTTAATTGCAGGAATCTGGCAAACTAGAATCCATAAAACAAAGGAACTAAAACATGAGAGTTCAAAGCAGGCAGGATCATGAAATAATTCCAGGAAGATTAACAAATAGCAATGACATGCTCGAGAGGCACCCTTGGGGCAGATACTAACAACAGCCTTCAAGAAGACCTCAACATAAGAATGCAAGGCAAGACATAATATTGGGGCGGGTTGAATTAAAAGGGTCGTTTGGTTTGGGCCAAGGGCTGCTGGGCTAAGGATTTGGAGGTTTTGGACCGCTGATTTGGTTCAGAAATAGCCTGACATGGGTCAACCTTTAAAATATCCGAAATTAATTAAAATAAAATTATTAAAACGTTTTACTAAATAATAAAAAATATTATTTATGAAATAAAATGCTTAAAAATTAATAACTCAACATTATAAAAATATAGAATGCTATTTGGCATAAGTAATATAATAAATGCAATTGTTTATAGAATATAGGTTATTATTGCAACTAATGTAGATAATAGGTAAAAATGCAAATATAATTATGTAAAATCGGGACAAAAATATTGTAAAATGCATATAGGTACAAATAGTAAATTCGGATGATTAGGTCACCACAAAAATAATTTGAAGGGATAATTAATATATATTTCAATACTTTAAATGCAAGAAATCAATTTTAGAGCTTTAAAAATTATAGAAAATACTTATATAATCCTTATAAATTGGGTAATAGTGCAAAATGATATTTTGAAAGTATACATAATACTTTATAAAATATAAGGACAAAATTAAGTATCAACAATATCTTTAGAAATATATTCACTCTGTCTATTTAGATTCAAAAGAATCTTATTTACTGTCTTTATATTTAAATTTTAAAAAACTTGATCTTCGAATTTAAATTAAATGTTATTACAATTATTTTCCTAAAATTCCAAGTGTTATAGTAGCTCCCACTTTTTTTTTTTAACCCCTCCTAAATTTATTTCAAGCTCCCACTTGATTTGACCGTAATGCAAAATTTATTTCTTTTATCTTTATCTTTAATATAGATATAGATAGATTAGGTGCATAAATTTGTCATAGACCTCACCAGCACCGTAGCTCCAGTAGTAAAATCCCCTCAAAAAACCCTAGCGCGTTATTTCATAAATATTGAGTGAGAGGCGCCGAACCCGAGAATCACAGCTCAAACAACCCATAGAAGCAATGGTACTTCCTTGTCCTGCATTGGTGTCCATTTTCTTTCTAACATAATAAATATGTGTAAAATGTGTGTGAATTATGTTGTGAGCAGGGTATCGATCTGAAGGCTGGAGGTAAGAACAAGAAGACAAAGCGCACAGCACCTAAGTCTGATGATGTTTACTTGAAACTCCTCGTCAAGGTGAAACTTCCTCCGACTCTCCTTATTTTTCTTAGTATATATTATTCTAGTATTAGTGCAGTTGCCATGTAGGATGTGTTTGGTACGGAGCAAAATGTTTTTCATACAAATTGTTTTCTGTGAAAATTGTTGTTACCATCATGATCTAGTGTGTTTGCTTGGCTATAAAAATAATTGACATAATAATAATCATACTAGATGAAGAATGAGTTATATAGTTAGGGGTGACAAAATAATTTAAAAAAAATAGTTAACCACTCATATTATCTACTAGAAAATGGGTTGGATAATGAACTTTTTAAAAACAGGTCAAATATGGATAAGAACCAATTATCCATTTAGAAAATGGATAACCAATTAATAACCAATGTGTCTAACTTTTACATTTATAAAGCCTCAAATAGAGGTTTCGACTAAGAATTCTCCCAAAAGTGATTATATGCAACAAGCCAGGGATAATATGGTTTATTATCTGCCGGCTAGCCTGTTTTTTATCCGTATTAAATATGGGTCGGGTCGGATAATTGATTCAATTTTTTCACTACCCGTTTTCGGCCGAACCATATCCGACCCGCCCCGCCCGTTTGCCCCTCCTAGTTACATTTTTGTGAACTGACAGTGTGAAAAATGTTGACACAATCAGGTTAGGTCACTTAAAAGTTTAAATTGCAAGTAACTTTATTTAGTAGCATTAATTTGTAATCTTTAATAATGGTAAGTAAACTATTATAACAAGTTAAATTACATTGATAATATAAAAATTTAGTGCATATAAAGTAGGGTATTGGTAAAGATTGAAAATAGTGTCTCGTGTTGGTTGAAACAAAATGGAATAAGGGTTGTGATATTTGAGAATGAAAAATGAGTATTGCCCATTAGAGAAGGAAGTCATTCTAACCCTTTTGGGTGAAAATAGTTTATAGTAATCAAACATTGCAAAGTGAACTATTTTCCTATCATACCAAGCACTCTATTCAGTAGTTCAAATGTTTGATTAGTGCAGTCTTTTGTTTGACATTTTTACAGCTATACCGATTTTTGGTGCGGAGGACGGGAAGCAAGTTCAACGCAGTGATTCTTAAGCGGCTCTTTATGAGCAAAACCAACAAACCTCCCCTTTCACTCTCGAGGTTGATATCTTATACCAAAGGAAAGGTATATCTTTCCTCTTTCCGTTATTGGATGCATTTTATTGCAGATGTATAGGTTCATTTGTTTGTCTTTCTTTGCTTTAGCTGATTTTTTAAATGTTATTTAAGGAGGATAAGATTGCTGTGATTGTGGGCTCTGTTACCGATGATGTTAGGGCCTATGAAGTTCCAACATTGATGGTATGTGCTTTGAGATTCACAAAGACTGCAAGGGCAAGGATTGAGAAAGCTGGTGGTGAGTGTTTGACATTTGATCAGCTGGCTCTTAGAGCTCCACTTGGTCAAAACACGGTAATGAATCACACCCTTTGACCTCTCTGTTGCTTAATTTATTGCCCTTTAACGTGGTAGTTCCTTAAGATTTTTTGAAACCTTGGATGTGGTCTGTATGGTGCCATTTATTTTGCGTATAGGTCGCTGCAGCCATTTGAATTCATATTTTAGTAATTAAGTCTTATTTTGTAGGAAAGAAGTTGAGATGGTAGTCTACGAGATAAAAGAACACTATCTTGAATTGTTGTATTCGAATTAGTCAGTAGAATGCAATATAGTTGTTGTGTTGGAGGCCTGAATTGGTATTGAAAAAAGCATGAATTCTTTTTTCGCATTCTTCAAATGTGATTTGACATGTTTATGATAGAAATTGGACACTGTCGATGCTTAGTATTTATTTGTCAGTTTTTCTTTGAATGGTCCTCATCTTGCTACCTGAGCTTCCACTTTGTCCTCTTGCATGTTTGTTTCCTTGAGCTCTTCATTCCTAAGATTTTATCTGCTTGAGCCTTTTACCAGAAGAATCCATGGAGTTATGCTTGAATACTATAGGATTACATTAATTCAATTAATATTACATTCTTATTCTAATCCTCCCTTTCCTTCAGATGACTGGCTTATAGGTGGAGGAATTTTCCACAACTTTTGAAACCTTGGAAGAAGATGCTATGTAATTATTCACATGTAAAAACGGAAAAGTGTTACTTAAAAGTTATATATTTAGGAATCGGGGTTTTCTCAAAAATAAAGATAAAAATATATGTATTCAGGAATCAGGGTAGTTTACCTGTTTTATTATAGTTATTCAAGTTTCCCTTTTAGTAGATTTTAGATTTGAATAAACTGAATGTTCTAACTATAGGTTTAACTATCACATTATTCGGCTAATTAAAAATTCTTAAAGAGTTTCTCTTGTTTTGTAAAACAATGTGTATTCCCTGTTTGAACATTTGCTAGGAAATTTTTTAATAGCAGTGTCTTGACTCTGTGGGAGCTGCCTATAGGGGAAAACTGATATTGGCATTTTTAGAGTATTAGGTAGCATGGGTTAGTTACATGAATGGACACAATAATTGTTTTTTTTGGTAATAACAACGGTTAAACATTGTAATTAATCCTTATAAAAAACATTGTAATTAAATCCCCAAGGCATATAGAGTTTAATAAGTTAAATGAACAATGGTTATGTTTGTACATTTCTCTCATTATCTTAACCTAGCATTGGAGATTTCACTTATGTATAATTGCTAATTGGGAGCCGAGATCTCTGCCATGCTTGCTGAAGAATCCTTTTGTTTCCATATTATATGGTTGGAGTTCCATTCATAACAGTGTTTGCTCAATGTCATCTGTTGCACTTCCAACGCAAGTGTCTGAACTCCAACTAAGATCTTGTTAATATTTGCAGGTTCTTCTCAGAGGCCCTAAGAATGCTCGTGAAGCAGTGAGGCACTTTGGTCCAGCTCCGGGAGTTCCACACAGCCACACGAAACCATATGTGCGTTCCAAGGGAAGGAAGTTTGAGAGGGCCAGAGGAAGAAGAAAGAGCAGGGGTTACAAGGTTTAAGTTGGATTCCATTATCTTAGGTTTGTTTCTATCATTGTATACAAGTTTTGGAGACTACAATGCACTTGCTTAGTTGGTTATGCTTTTTTATATCTTGTTTAGAATATTTGAGTTATATAAACTTGAAATTAATTTTTTCAAAATTCAATGTAGTGTTGGTATAATATCTTTTTATTCATAGATTGCTATTACTACCTAGAGTTTAACTGCTTTGGTCCTTTTTATCTTGTTGTTCCTACTTGTTGCCAATACTCCTTTTCATCCCTTTTTTCAGTCGAGGGTCTATCGGAAACATCTCTGCCTTTACAAGGTAGGGGTAAGGCTGCGTACATCTTTTCCTCCCCTGACCCATGAATAGGAACTCATTGGGATTGTTGTTGTCAATGTCAATGTAGCTTTGTGAGTTTGTTACTTTATGAAAATCAGAAACCAAAATCTCATTGTTTTTGCTGCATTTGGATGGATGCAGCTTCATCTTGTTATATTCATGGTTTTGTGGAATAAGTGGGCGATTCAGAAATTTTGTGGCCACTGAGTGACGCTCGTCCTTGCTTTAGATCTTAGGGCAGATTTTAAGCAGTTTTAGTTTGACTAATAATTTTATCAGTTTATCTCTAAAATGTCTCAATTAAAACCCCCAATCCTCGATACTCCATTACTTCATTCCCTGGCCTATTTTTTAAGATCCAGCAAGAGGTGAATGTTGCACTATGAGTAAGGGTTCAATTAAACCCATAATATATGTAAAATTTATTAAAATTTTGAAATAAATAATAAATTTGAACCTATAACTTTAAAATTATAATGGGTACAATGTTAAAAATCTTAAAAAAATTTAACCCATGATCTGGCCGCTCGTTTCGTGTATTGTAGCTCCCGTTCCCCCTATTTGTTGCCTTTTCTATGTTCATTTGTGGTATCTGACTTGCCGGGGTGGTTGGATTGGTTTTGAGAGAAGTTTCGGGATGATTTGGGACACTTAGTCTCGAGATTAAAAGTTTTAAGTTGAAAGAATTGACCGGAGTTTGACTTTTGTGTAGACGACCTCGGAATGGAATTTTGATGGTTCCATTAGCTTCGTATAGTGATTTTGGACTAAGGCATATGTCCAAATTTGGATTTGGAGGTCCGTAGTGTCACGACCCCAAATTTTCACCTTAGGATGTCGTGATGACACCTAGTATCTAAGACTAGGTAAGTCTAATACATGAAGAGATCTAACAGAAATAACCAATTTAGCTATATAAAATTAAACTGATAAATAAAATAACGTAACTAAAGCTGAACAATAGTTATACAATCCCCGGAACCGGTGGTACATAGTCATAAGCTCTAGTGAGATACATTAGAGTCTCTAAGTACAATACTGCTTTGGAACGAAGATGAATAGTAGCAAAGATAATATTATGAGGTGACTCTGAGGCCTACGAGCGTCAAACAGGTATACCTTGAAGTCTCCAGTTGAGCAGACACAACTCTTAAATCCAACACGATCCGAAGTACCTGGATCTGCACAAAAATGTGCAGAAGCATAGCATGAGTACACCACAACGATACCTAGTAAGTATCAAGCCTAACATTGGTAGAGTGGTGACGAGGCCAGGTCAAGACACCCACTAGACATAAAAACATGTGCAAGATGGAAAGAACATCAATGTAAGGCTATCAACGCAAAGATTATTAATATAAAACCAACAATAGAATAATAGAAACCCAAATGTCAACAAGAATTAAACGGGTAAGAAAACACCAAAATAATCAGAATACCGATAAGGTATGAATGAAATCAATTAAGGAACAAATTACAATTCAAGTAATCAAATCTTTCCCAATGTATGACTTACAACAACAATATCTCGAGGCACCATACCTCGAAATCACAAATCATAAACCACACAACCCGGAATCTTACACACATAACACATCGTGCCGACATTATCAATCACCTTCGCACAGAAAAGTCCACGTGCTACCATGTATATTGTATCCGTGTCAATTGACAAATAAAAATGTTCGAAAGATTTATTTAAATAAAACAAGGCAAAATAAAATTTTTGAATAAAGTAAGGCGTCAAATGAGATAATGGGTTTATTTTGTAAGTCAAATAAAGTAAAATAAAATACGATTTATACAAAGTAGAGTATCAAATGGGAAAAATGAGTTTAGTTTAGAAATCAATTAGGTAAAGTAAACAACATTTTTAAATAAAGTAAAACATCGAAAAAGATAACGAATTAAATGTAGAATCATTTAAGGTAAAGCGTGATAACAATTTAAATATAGTAAATCACCGAGTGAGATGACAAGTTTTATTTTGAGAATCAAGTATAGTAAAGCATGTTATCAATTAATCAATTCACCAAGTAGCAATGGAGGCACATATTGGCACATTAAAGCAACACAACAAATTACGTAGAATGCATGACTCACCTAAGAAATCACAATCGTTCCAACACAAGAGTAACAACAGATAATCAAGCACAATCAAAATTATGAATAGGAATGAGGTGAGAAAGCAAAACAATAATTGTTCAAATCAACAAGCCTTTTCAACATAGAATGTACAACAAGACTCACACTGAGGTACCACACCTCATATTCACATTTCACAAGTCACAATCACAATCTTCCTTATATCACTGCGTGAGTCGTGTATTTTGTTTTTCCCGAAATAGCGCACGCGCTTTAGCCCCCTTATCTTACCGTGTGACTTCAAGTAATTCCCTTACTAGCAACACGCATATTATCACACCTCCTTTTTTTACACACCACCCCGGAAAGATATTGTATAAGGGAGTTTTTCCACTTTAAGTGACATTATCCGAAATGAGATTATTTATTTATCAGAGTCGCCACTTGGGATAGTTTATTTGGTGTCCCAAGTCACCGGCTTATTTTGAATCCCAAATCGAGGAAGATTTCGACTTTCCAAGTGAAGTCTGCGAACCAGAAATTCTTAAGTAAGGAATTCTGTTAACCCGTGGGAAAGTGTTAGGCACCCCTGGATTCCGTGGTTCTAGCACGGTCGCTTAAACTATCATAATTGGCATATTACCTGATTTTAATACATGTTTCAACCCATAGTGCAATTTTAGATTATTTACCGCTTTTATATAATTTTAAGAAATATTGCAACATTATTAAAACACATCTTGAACCACGTCACATAAATGCACCCATGGTTTTTGACATATTTTAACATTGTTGAGATTTGGATTTGGGTCACATAAATGTGCACCCGAGTTTAGGAAAGTAGATTATTAAAATACGCGCCTAAAGCAACTAACATGTTGTTATCTTTGCGGGGGCCATGGAAATTCGCTAAATGACACGCCTCGATTCTAATTTCAAAGGATTGTACTCAACTAAAGCAAACTATGGATGTTCATAATCATTTTACTAAACTACCTTGAGATTAGTGTGGAAGGTCAAGAATTAGCAATGTAATTTACGTCAAACTAACTTAAAATACCTTTCTTAAATACCTTGTATACTTTTCCACATTTAAACTAACATTTTATTTTAACGCTCAAGAGATTCCTTTTTATACAAAATGGTCAAGTATCCAGCAAACTTGAAAGGCAAATGTCATGTACTGTTGCATCATTTGTAATTACCATACTATTAATAAACAAATAGAAGCATCTTCCAAAAAAGAGATCTAGTGACTCATAAAACTTCCCCTGCCCTCCTCTTCCTAGTTCACCGTTAACTACTGACGCCTAGATAATATAATTACTATACAATCTCCACACAATTAATGATTCCTAAACTGAAAGAGCTAAACAACTTACTATAGCTCATGTTAGCACAAGGAATATAAAATATTTCCACTTCAAATGATTAATACCAGAGAAAGGAACCAAGAAGTCAGACTATCATATACAACACACAGGACTAGTATAGATTGAACAAAATAGACCAACAATCTTTTAATTTTACCCAGCAACCCAACTATTCAAATCAATTCCAGTTAAACTTCAAATTCGAGCTTCTCATTCGATTAAGACCAAGTACCAATTTGTTATTTCAGTAACAATCACATATGTTAATGAGCCAAACTTTATCACAGAATCGAAGCACCACCACTAGTCATGAAGAACATAAGAATCTGTCATTCAAATATATGTGACAAAATCAGGAAGTGAAAGATTAAAGATGGAAATGAACCTTAGAATTCTTCCTTTTACACTGAAAAACAGAGCTTCAAATCAAGCGCGTATCAATCACTGCTTCGATCTCACGGATCCGAAATGAAGGGATTCCAACAGATCTTCAAACCAGGACAACGAACCGCGACCAGAAACACGAACGACGGCTCCGAAATTTCGAACACCTTCTCAGCTTTCACCCATTTTGGACAAAATACAGAATATGAAACTTGCTTTTTATATCAATATTTCATATTCTGTCTTGGTTTTCAGCTGTGCTGGTATGTGTGTGTGTATCTGTTTCCAGCAGTGAGGATGAAGAAGACGAAATAGTGGTCGTCTGGGGTGGGGTTCATGACCTTATATTTTTCAATGGCTGCCCGTGTATATCCAGTGTATATCGAGAGTATCTCTAGTGTATATAGAATGTATACTGACTGTATATCGAGTGTATACCCACCGTTAAGAAGAAGCCATCCCTTTTTTTTCGTTTCTGTGTTTTGAACTTCTCCTCTCGTTTCTTCTTACTTGAATTATTATTTTTTAAGAGGGAACAGTACCTTAACAACAGCAAATAAAGTTCTCAATAGCCAAACAAAGTCTTAATAATACTGATGGATATCAGTAGCAGTGGTGAACGAGGCAGCAACAAGAAACATGGCAGTCCAAAAACTCAGCTAAATCGAAAATCCTCTTAATCTATGTTGAAGCTTTTGTTTCCAGTTTCTGAAAGCTCTTTTTTTTTGTTTCTAAATCCGAGATTCAATCCCTTTTGTATGTGTAAGTGATGATGAGACGAAGCTCGGAGGAGGACGAGTGGGGTGGCTGGCGACGTTGGGAGGTGAAGGGATTAGGGACGGCGTTGCTAGAGCTTCTAGTAAGGTGGGGACCAGTCTCTAATGTTAGAGAGAGAGAGGCGCCGCTGCTCTAAAATATGAAGAGGAAGCTCTCTATTTTTCTGTCAGTCCCCTCCTCTTTCAGAAGCCTCTTTCTAAATAGGCAGTAGATTAGTGCACACCCTATTCA